CTTGCTGTACAGTGAGTTGCCGTAGGAACCCAGGTGTGTGAGCAGGCAGCAGCAGCAGAGTGACAAAAGCTAGAGTAGACTACTGGTGGAGGCAAGAACACTTCACACAATTTCCCCAGAAATTTTAGCTTTTCTAGTTAGAACTGTCCTTCCTCAAACACATATGATGGAGAATGGGAGCTGCATCTGCTTTTTTGAGTCACCAAAATTATATTATATATAAAAAAATAAATAGTCAAATACAAATGTTGCTTTTTCTGGCTTCTAAATGTTTTCATAACTGCACTGAACTGTTTACCTGAAAGATATCAGAACAAGATAAAGTAAGGTAACAAACAGGGCCAGCACTACCACTAGGAAAACTAGACAGTCTCCTAGGGCTCACTGTCGCCTTGAGTGCAGCCATGGCTGCTGGTTTCCCTACTCTCTGCCATGGCTGGGTGCTGGGGCAGGCTATGCCCCCCCATAAATCAGTTGTGCCCCCCCAGCTACTCTTTCCATGGATGCTGTGCCTAGATGCCTTCCCCCATCCCAGCTGGAACAAGCTGAGAGTAGCCTGGAGCAGTGAAGCCTGCAAAGGAGAAATGCCAGTAGGTGCAGGCTGTGCTCTCATCTCCTGTCAGTGGATTGATCTTCCATAAAGCAGGGGGCACAGGATCACTCTTACATTGGCATGTTCAGTGTTTGATTCATTCCCTGGCTCCCTGCTGCAGAGTTATGAGCGGTCATTGGAGGAGATCAGGGGTGGGGTAATCAAAATGTGTACAGCCCGATCCAAGAGCGCTCCTGTGTCATCTGCTGTATAGAAAATTGTTCCACTGACGGGTGAGAGCACAGCACAACTCGCACCTGTGCCTGGTTTCCCTGTATGTTTTTTTGGGGGGGGAACTTACAGTCCGGGGGAACTGTACACAATGAAAGGACGGAGGGGTAACAATCATTAAAGCTGAGATGAGAGGTTTGTGCAGGAGAGGGGATGGGGCTATTTGTGCTGGGAAGGGTAATGGGGCTGATGGGGGGGGGGGGATTTGTGCTAGGAGAATGAATGGGGGATATGTTCTAGGAGTAGAAAGGAGTTTTCAGGGAAGGGGAAGGGTTGTGGGGGAATTTGTGCAAAAGGGGTGGGTTGGGTAAAGTGCGAGGAGATTGGGGGGGGGGGTGAGGGGGGAATTTGTACTAGGAGGGGGTATTGGGAGAGAATTTGTTCTAGGAGAGGGGGGGTAGGGGGGTGGTTGTTCTAGGCGGTAGAATTGAGGGGGGATTTATGATAGGAGGGGGATTGGGGGGGGTTGTGCTAGGAGAGGGAATTGGCGAGGGGGATTTGTGCTAGGAAGGGGGATTGGAAGGGGTTGTGATAAGAGGAGGGGATTTGTGCAAGGACGGAGGATTTGGGTGTGCAGGAAGAATTTGTGCTGGGAAGAATAATTTAGAGGGGGTTGTGCTAGGAGGTGGGATTGCGGGGGTTTATGCTAGGAGGGCGAATTTGAGGGAGAGGATTTGTGCTAGGGTGGAAAATATGAGGGATAAGAGGATGTGTGCTAGGAGGGGTGAAGTACAACTGCAGGTGAGGTTTTTTTTTGAGGGGGGAGGAGTGCAAGTAGCTGGTCTTGCTTAGGGTGCAAAATAATCTAGCACCGGTCCTGGTAAAAAGATAATAGCAGAAAGAAAGAGAGACATTTTCAGCACAGAAGACGTTAGAACATACAGTACATGTGGACTACTACCCTTTGGATGTACGAGACTTGGAAAAATATATTGCTTATCAAACTTAAGTTGGCTGCAGACAAACATTTGCATATCCTTTTTTGTGTCCTGATATGATACTGTGTCATGTGCATAAAAAAATGATATACTGTATGACAAAAGATGTAGCTTTATACAGTAAATCTGAGATCAGATATGGGCCACTACAAAGAAATTGTGCTAGATATGATTTAAATAATTTAGTTATCACCATAGTTCTGCATAATAAAATTATTGTAGGAAATTGTGAATATGAGTGGAAGGTATGTTGTATGCTAGATTTATATGGTAAGTTTCAACTGGTATGATGGACCCTAAGGAAATAAATTTGCAAAAAAAATGTTTGCAAAATTTCCAGCATACCAGCCCTGGCCAAACATTTTGACAATGACACAAATATTAATTTTCACAAGGTCTGCTGCTTCAGTGTTTTTAGATCTTTTTGTCAGATGTTACTATAGTATACTGAAGTATAATTCAAGCATTTCATAAGTGTCAAAGGATTTTATTGTTAATGACATTACGTTTATGCATAGTCAATATTTTCAGTGTTGACCATTCTTTTTCAAGACCTCTGCAAATCACCCTGGCATGCTGTCAATATACTTCTGGCATATAAAAAAGGTGCAGCGCTTATATATTAAAACATGCAAGATATCAAAATGCAAGAGTATATCCCTGCAAAACGCAGGCAGGGTATAGTTATTGTACTGCCCCTTATAGTCTCAATTAACACACAAATATATAGTTCACAATCTCCCAGTGGGTAGGGTGAGGTGAAGGATCAAATGGATCTCTATTGACACACGGTGATAGCCAAAAAGGTGATGTATGGTGATATCCAAAACTGGTAAAAGATTGTGCACTCACCAGATGCACAACCAATATGCGCATGTAAGAGATAACCCCTCTCAAGGTATGGTTCCAGGACTCATCAATGGCAAGATCTGGTCAATCTCTACGATGTGGACCCTCAGCTGTCATGCATGGCTCTGTCCCCTATAGCTCTTTACTCTGCAGGTAGTTGGAAGCTCACCAGAGAGCCCCAGAAAGAAACAAGGAGGCCAGAATAGCGTGATACCGCTTAAACATGCGTGCGTTTATTTCATCCAGCAAAAGGGTATAATAAAACAATACTGACCAGACAATACCCCCTATGAGTAAGTGCGGTTGCACGAAACGCGTCAGTGAGGAACTGCGGCACAGTGACGTTTACCACCGCCGGCACCACTGGGGTCCCGGCGGCTAACTTTATTGTCTGGTCAGTATTGTATACCCTTTTGCTGGATGAAATAAACGCACGCATGTTTAAGCGGTATCACGCTATTCTGGCCTCCTTGTTTCTTTCTGGGGCTCTCTGGTGAGCTTCCAACTACCTGCAGAGTAAAGAGCTATAGGGGACAGAGCCATGCATGACAGCTGAGGGTCCACATCGTAGAGATTGACCAGATCTTGCCTTTGATGAGTCCTGGAACCATACCTTGAGAGGGGTTATCTCTTACATGCGCATATTGGTTGTGCATCTGGTGAGTGCACAATCTTTTACCAGTTTTGGATATCACCATACATCACCTTTTTGGCTATCACCGTGTGTCAATACAGATCCATTTGATCCTTCACCTCACCCTACCCACTGGGAGATTGTGAACTATATATTTGTGTGTTAATTGAGACTATAAGGGGCAGTACAATAACTATACCCTGCCTGCGTTTTGCAGGGATATACTCTTGCATTTTGATATCTTGCATGTTTTAATATATAAGCGCTGCACCTTTTTTATATGTGAGTCTTTGGAGGTTGTTTTTTGGTACCTTTTGTGTTCAGCAGCTTTGTTACCTTTAGCGCTCACTTATACCTATTTTTACAGCAAATCTACTTCTGGGCCACTTCCTGACTGATGGCAGTCCATTCTTGCATTATCAATGCTTGGAGTTTGTCAGAATTTATGGGGGGGGGGGTTGTTCAGCCGCCTCTTGATTATTGACCACAAATTCTCAATGAGTTTCCTGGCCGTGGACCCAAAGTTCTGATGTTTTATTCCCCACGTCAAGTTAGTTATCACTTTTGCCTTATGGTAAGGTGCTCCATCATTCTGGAAAAGGCATTGTTCATACATGCCATACTGTTCTTGGATGGTTGGGAGAAGTTGTTCTCGGAGGATGTTTTTGTACCATTCTTTATTCATGGCTGTGTTCTTAGGCAAAATTGTGAGGGAGCCCACTCCCTTGGCTGAGAAGCAACCCACACATGAATGGTCTCAGGATGCTTTACTGTTGGAATGACAGGATTGAATTTAGCACTCACCTTTTCTTCTCAGGACAAGGTTTTTTCTGGATGCCCCAAACAATCAAAAAGGGGATTCATCATTGAAAATTAATTTACCCCAGTCCACAGCAGTCCAATCCCTGTACCTTTTGCAGAATATCAGTCTGTCTTGGAGAGAAGTGGCTTCTTTTCTGCCCTTCTTGACACCAGGCATTCCTCCAAAAGTCTTCGCCTCCCTGTGCGTGCAGATGTACTCACACCTGCCTGCTGCCATTCCTGAGCAAGCTCTGCACTGGTAGTGCCCCGATCCCACAGCTGAAACAACCTTAGGAGATGGTCCTGAAGCTTGCTGGACTTTCTTGGGTGCCCTAAATCCTTCTTCATAATTGAACCTCTCTCCTTGAAGTTGGTTGATTTAAGTGCAATCTTAGTAGCAGCAATATCCTTATCTGTGAATCCATTTTTGTGCAAAGCAATGATGTCTGCATGTGTTTTCTTATAGATAACCATGGTTAACAGAGGAAGAACAATGATTTCAAGCACCACCCTCGTTATAGAGCTTCCAGTCTGTTATTCTAACTCAATCAGCATGACAGAGTGATCTCCAGCCTTGTCCTTGTCAACACTGACACTGACCTGTGTTAATGAGAGAATCACTGACATGATGTCAGCTGGTCCTTTTGTGGCAGGGCTGAAATGCAGTGGTAATTTGTTTTTGGGAATTATGTTAATTTTCATGGCAAAGGGGGACTTTGCAAATAATTGCATTTCATCTGATCACTCTTCATAACATTCTGGAATATATGCAAATTGCATTTATAAAAACTGAGGCAGCAGACTTTGTGAAAATTAATATTTGTGTCATTCTCAAAAACTTTTGGCCAGGACTGTACTTCTCAGTTTGCCATTATGGCTTATCTAAATAAACATTTTTGTAAAAATAAATATCAAATAGTTAATATGCACCATTATGTTTTAATATACCCTCTAGGTGCAGAACATGTCACAGTCAATAGAAGTTTTGAATCTCCGCACACAAAGAGATTTCCAGTATGTACAGAAGATGGAGACCCAAATGAAGGGTCTAAGGTCCAAATTTAGGCAAATTGAGGAGGACCGGAAAAATCTATTAACTCGGCACTTTCAGGTAAGTACACTGAAATTATCATGGGTCTATACAGTACTATGTATAACCTTAATTGCAAATACAAGTTAAGTTTCATTTTACTTTAAGTGTGCAGCTATAAGTAATATGGTAATGGATACACTTCTACCTATATATATTTTCTTTATATTTTACATATATTTTTCTTTTTTCATTTATTATGCTCAGAAATAAAATATTACAATTTTAGAAATGAAAAACAATATGTATAAGTAAATATGACACATTGCACATAACTATTTCATAGTTCAGTAATCCCTCCCCCCTTTTCTCTCACTTAAAAAATTATGTATAAATAATTTGTTAAAAAAAACTTAAAGTGAATTTTTTTATCAATTTATGTTGATGAAGAGTTTGTCTTTTATACCTTAATGTTGCATAAATTTCTGCCGAAGAAACCAGAAAAATGGCTCAAAGTAAAGACAGCTGTGTGCAATATCTAATGTAGATATAGAAAAAATAGTTTGCACTTTAAGCTAGTATACATAGAGCCGGTAACACAATTGTCCTGTGGCCAGCATTCCCAAAATAGAGGAGACACAAGCAGAATTCTGAGCTTCTCATTTGTTTCAAATTCATAAGCTCTAAAGATAATTATACACTGGCAGATCACTGTGAAGCTAAAATGAGCCTGTAATTTTGTTCTAAACAATTGAATCTATTATGAACCATGTTCAATGCTGCTTTTTAGAAGGGGCACCAAGCTACAGGCCTTTCATGACACACCTGGGTGTAAAATTCAGATTCAGGCTCAAAAGCCAGGTCTTCAAAGACAGTAGCCTGCACATTTAAAGAGATACTAAACTCTCTTTTTTTTTTTAATTAAATTGGCCTCCAGGGGGTTTAAGCCATAATGTGCTAGTGCGCATTGCATATTAGTACATTATAACAGATCTACCTGTCACATGAAGCCATCCAGTGCTGTGCTGTCATCACTCCAGCTGGTCCCAGGTGCTCTCATCTCCTTCCAGTCTTCCTTCCAGGTTCTGTGTGAATATGTCACTATCATACAGATGTACAGGGGCCACATCAATGCGGCACAGAACAGATGCCATACATGTAAGCTGAGCTGCGCATGCATGACTCAATGTACATGACAGCTGACAGACAGGGGGAAGCGTTTATGAAAAAAAGATTGATAAGGTCACGTCTAACATTAAAAACCCTACCTGTGAGCAGTTTTTAAAATCAGAGTGTATTACCAGTTTAATGACTCAAATTAATCACAGTGATATTAATTACCTCTTCATGCTCCACCTTGGGGCCAAAAAAAAAAGAAATGCAGTGGGCCAGAGTTTGTAAAAGTAAAAAAGCAACTCTGGCTGCAATAATTACCTCCTCTCTAGTGTTCACGTCAGACTCATTGTTCCACGATCCAGCCCAATGAGTACGGACCACATTCACACCCATTATGTCACAAAGACTGAAGAAAAATGGGTATGTATATATATTTTTTTTTAAAGCCATGAAAGCTGTGCAAAATTCAGGGCTCCCAAAAGCTTTTTGTCATAATGTGCAACTGTGCAACAAAGTTACCCCCTCCAAAGCTGCAATATTCACACTCCCCTCTTTAGCAGGTGCTTCCATCTTCTCCTGTTCTTTCAGGTTCAAAATCTTCAGATGTCCTGCTCAAACAGATCAGGATGATGCACGTTTTCCTGATACCACAGTTGTGCTAAGACTGCCTAGCAGGGAAACGTGTTTAGTTTTACTTTGAGTGCAGGAACAGCAGTCTCTTACAGGGACTGCGCAACTTTGGCAATAACTCTTTGATATTTCAACTTGGATGTAACTTGCAATTGATAAGTACCAGACGTCAAGCTAGCTATAGATGTGTCATTTTATTTTGTTCAACCAGCGGCTATTTATCTGATAGGCTGGTTGTACAGCAGTTGACCCATAAATCAACTTCTGTACAACCAGGGTGCCCGTACATGGATTGAAATTCATCTGGTCGCTGCTGGACTGGGCAAATTTGGATCTCTGTATGGCTGGCTTTATGCCTGGTACACATCATCAGATTTTTTTTAAATTCAACCCAGGGGTTTGAATAATAAAAAACTAGCAATTGTGTTCTGACAGGGAGACTGTCCCCCCCCCCCCCCCGCCAAATCACACTGGTCAGCGCTGGCAGCCATTGGCTGTTGGCACTGATCAGATGCCAGTTGGATGCTGGTTTACACAAGTGCTGAATGTTGGCTGGTTTCTGCTGAACCAGCCGATATTCAGTCCGTGTATATGGGCTTTACTCCAAGTTAAAATTTACTTTGGTACCAACCCACATTTTATTCCACCAAAGTTTCAGTAGCAAGAGTAACATGTCAATGGTCAGCGGTCAATTCAGATGTGTCCTTACCCCACCACTGGATGACAATGCAGGTCCAAATGTCTTTTTAACTTTAATATTCTACAGTCAACACAACAGATGCCTAAGAACAGCTGGGATTGATCTAAGTCTGTAAAAGTCAATGTAAAAGGAAATGTACTTTTAAAAGGAATGTATAGTTTTGTAAATATTCCTTTTATTGATTAAGGTGTAGACTAAGTCCCGGTTCACACTAGTGCGACGTCTGATGCAATTGAGTAGCACAGTATCTCATTGTTTTCAAAGGTTCCCATTCTAATCAAAGCAACTCAGCACAGTGCGATTTTTGGAAAGGTTTTTGCATCACTTTGGTGCGATTTACAGTGTGACTCAGCTCCATAGGATATGCAAAGTCGCATCAAAGTCATACCGCCAAGTCGAACTGTAAATCACATCAAAGTCACATCACAGTAGTGTGAACCTAGTCTAAAAAATAATATGTTTAAAAATGTTTTACTTTTTCATAGTCAAACAGCAACTGGAGCTATTGGCTGCTTTTCTTATGTTTTTCTGTGACTTTCTATCTGCTATGTTAATAAATCCCACTGCACAGAGAACTCAATAGCTCAACATTTACATGCATAAGTGAATGAGACATAGCAGCAACTAATTCCTCTCCATCCCCATGTCTGCTTTCTACAAAGTTTCATTTGAAGAGAGACAGAACCTTAAATTAAACAGCTTTTGCTGTACACTCTGTAGAAAACCATAATACCACATGAATCCAGAGTCATGGATGTGCCCTTTTTTTGTTTTTACAACAAAGATTTTTAAATAAATTGGGTAAAAATAGATGTACAACAGAAGATTAAAAACATACTGTATATCCTTAAAAGGTTATAATAATTTTGACCAAAACCTTTATGTTTTCTGTACGAAAATTGCACCTATCTGTAGAATAGAGTGTACATAAATGTAATTTAATGTTCTGGTAGAAAAATTATCTAAAGGCTTTATTTATTTTAGGATCTGAAAGAAAAGATGGATGAGCTCCAGCCACTAATTCCAGTTTTGGAACAATACAAAACAGATGCCCGGCTAATTACACAGTTCAAAGAGGAGATCAGAAATTTGACTGGAACACTCACAACCATCCAACATGAGATAGGGGCATTTGACTATGAAGAGCTACATCAACGGGTTCTAGGATTGGAGACCAGACTGAGAGATTGCATGAAAAAACTAAGTAAATCAAAATGCTTTATATTATTATATATTTTTTTTTTGCTTGCAAATGTAATATCTTTTTCTTTGCACAAGCCCTGTTGCTACTGTTTACTACTCCATCTCCAATTGCCCTGTTACCACTCCAACTCCCAAATCAAGAGAAGCAGAACACAAAAAGACAGGTTCCTAATTGCAGGTGAATCCTAGAAGAACAGAGCAATAATAGTGTCTGACATTCACGATGGGTACTGTAAAACGTGGAGGTTCAACAATGAAATGTGCATTAGGCTCCACTCGATTCAGAGGAGCCCAATGAGTGGCATTTACAACAGTGAATGAAGAAAAAGCTGGGAGGAGAACCTGGTTGTATGAACTGCAAAAGTCTTGTGATCATATCTCTGCAACCACAAAGTTCCCCCTGCAGAAAGAACTCTGTGGAACACTGGGGTTTGATTTACTAAAGGCAAATAGACTCTGCACTTTGCAAAGTATAGTTGCACTCTGCAAGAGCAGTAGCTCCAGAGCTTAGTAAGTGAACTGAAGCTCTGCTGACGTGCATCATCCAATCATGTGCAAGCAAACATGCATTTTTTTTATTTTTCTTGCACGTGATTAGGTATTCTTTGCAAAGTGAAGCTTTACCTCATTTACTAAGCTCTGGAGCAAATGCACTTTGCAAAGTGCACAGTCTATTTACCTTTAGTAAATCAACCCCACTGTGTTTGCATTTAATGAATGGCATGCAGGCTGCGGTGTGCAGTAACATTGCAGTTTCCAATGGAATGCAGAGATCAGTCTCTGCTATAAATAATTTAGTTATATTTATATATATATCAAACTTGATGGGGTTGATTTATTAAAGGCAAATAGGCTGCTCACTTTGCAAGGGCATTTGCACTTTGAAATGGCATTTTCCCTAGGTTACTAAATGTGGGGAAGCTGTGCTGACCTTCTTCATCCAGTCATGTTCAAGAAAAAATACTGATTTGATCTTCTTTGCAAAGTGAGTTTTCACCACATTTAATAACCTATGGGAGAATTCCCTTGCAAATTGGAATTTCCTTTGGAAAGTGAACAGCCCATTTGCCAACCCCATGACTCAGAAGGAATCTGGCCCTTAATAGTACACAACTTTCATGTGTAATATAATCGCCAGGTAGTTCTACTGTAATTTTTGAAATGTATAGAAAGAAAAATCTATGGTGTGAACCTTGACATAAATCATCCTTGCAGAAATATTGCACTGATCTCTCCTTGCACTGTAGCCATGGAAGCATATGTTGCAGTAACACCATCAGTGACTTAAAATATCAGTTTGTGAAGGATAGCTATAGAAGTATTTGCACTGGATGAAAATAGCTGTTCAACTGGTATTTCTCCAGAGCTATTTGTAGACCATTCTATCCAAGATGTTCAATGAGTTCTGGAATTGGCTTTGCTTTAACATAACAGTAAAGTAACACATGGCTGAACAGTTCATTTACTGTTTCTTGTGAACTGTTTTGAGTGTCCTTCGGTGAAATTGTTTTGAAAACTCCATTTTACATTTTTGTACAATCAAAATAAACAAGCGGGATGCTAATGATGACAATGATAACATGCCTTCCGTTCCCTGTACTGCATTATTTCAAAGGTTTATAGTTATTGGGGGTATTGAGATATAATATATATACAGTACTGTGCAAACGTTATAGGCAAGTGTGAAGAAATGCTTTGACCTCTTCTTGACTGCTCTATAGTCGAATGATGGCTACAGCGCTGTCCTCCAGTTCTGGGAGGGCGTCATATGACGTTCCTTTCAAAACACGCTACCCCAGCAGTGCGCACCCGGCGCTGTCTGTGATCACTGTGTCCTTTGGACACAGCTGATCACATGACTCGGTAAAGGGCCAATCACAGTGGCCTTTTACCACTTGATCAGCTGTCTCTAATCACAGCAGATCACCATGTAAATACACTTGCCGGTTATTGACAGTACTTTTCTCAGGCTATGTCACAGTGGGAGGAAAGTACTGCCGATAACCGGCAACTATGAAAGCAGAAATCTACACTGATAATCAGTGCCCTGGTTATCAGTGCAGCCCCCAAAAGTGCCCAGTAGTGCTGCCAATCAGTGCCCAACAGTGCTGCCCATCAATGCCCAACAGTGCTGCCCATCAGTGTCCAGCAGTGCTGCTGCCCATCAGTGCTCAGCAGTGTTGCCCATCATGTGTCAAGCAGTGCTGCCCATCAGTGCCCAGCAGTGCTGCCTATCAGTGCCACCAGTCAGTGCCTTCAATCAGTGCCGCCATTCAGTACCATCAGTCAGTGCTATCAGTCAGTACCACCAGTCAGTGCCCTTCAATGCCGCCTATCAGTGTCCATCATTGCCACCTATCAGTGCCCATCAGTGCTGCATATCAGTGCAGCCTCATCAGTACCTCCTCATCAAAGCCTACCAGTGCCGCCTCATCAGTGCAGCCTATCAAAGCCTACCAGTGCCGCCTCATCAGTGCAGCCTAGTAGTGCCCAACAGTGCTGCCTATCAGTGCAACCTATCAGTGCCCATCAGTGCTGCTTCATCAGTGATGCATATCAGTGCAGCCTCCTCATCGAATATCAGTGAAGGAGAAAAATTACCTGTTTGCAAAATTTTATAATAGAAACAAAGAAAAACTTTTTTTTTCACAGACTTTTTTTCTTTTTATAGTGCAAAAACAAAACACCCAGTGGTGACTAAATACCACCAAAAGAAAGCTCTATTTGTGTGAAAAAAAATTATAAATATTTTGTATGGATAGTTACATGACTGCACAATTGTCATTCAAAGTGCGACAGTGCTGAAACCTGAAAATTGGCCTGCGCAGGAAGGGAGCCCAGTAGGCAAGTGGTTAAAGTAAGAGTGCTTTCAAAAGTCTATATTTTAATTGCTTATTTTTATGTAGAAAATGCAAAGTGAGCGAACAGAAGAAAAATCTAAATCAAATCAATATTTGGTGTGACTACCATTTGGCTTCAAACCAGTATCAATTCAATTCAGCAAGCTCTTTTGAGGAAGCACAAATGCCGAGGACCATAGACACAGTGATCGACCAAGGAAACTTAATGCACCAGATGAAAGACACATCATGCTTACTTCCCTTCAACATCAGATGTTCAGCAGTGCCATCAGCACAGAACTGGCAGAAACCAGTGGGACCCAGGTACTTCACTATTGTTTTGAAACACCCATCTACTGTCCAGGGAAGTCTGGCCAGAAGTGGCCTTCAATAAAAAACTGCGGCCAAAAAGGCATACATCCGAGGTGGAAACAAGGTTAAGCAACTCAACTATGCGCAAATACATAGAAACTAAGATGCAGAAAAATGGCAGACGGTGCTCTGGACTGATGAGTCAACATTTAAATATTTGACTGTGGCAGGAAGCAATTTGTTAGCCAAAGGGCTGGGGAGTGGTACAATAATGAGTGTCTGCAGGCAACAGTGAAGCATTCTGGAGGTTCCTTCTAAGTCTGAGGTTGCATTTCTTCAAATGGAGTTAGAGATTTGGTTAGGATCAATAGTTTCCTCAATGCTGAGAAATACAGGCATATAGTTATCCATCATGCCATACCATCAGGGAGGTCCCTAATCTATTCAGTTGGCCATAAATGTATACTGCAACAGGATAATTACCCAAACATGCAGCCAATGTCATTAGGAACAATCTTCAGCGTAAAGAAGAACAAGGAGTCCTGGAAGTGATGGTTTGGCCCCCACAGAGCCATGATCTCAACATCATCGAGTCTGTCTGAGATTATATGAAGAGACAGAAGGATTTGAGCATCCTACATCCACAGAAGATCTGTGATTAGTTCTCCAAGATGATTGGAACAGCCTACTTGCCGAGTTTCTCCAAAAATTGAGAAACTGTGTGCAAGTGTACCTAGAACTGAGAATTAAGAAAAGCTATTTTGAAGGCAAAGGATGTTCCGACCAAAATGTTGATTTGTTTTGGATTTCTTGTCTGTTCATTTACTTTCCATTTTGTTAATTGATAAAAATAAAATATTAACATTTCTATTTCTGAAAGTATTCTTAATGTTCATCATTTTTCACAACTGTCTATAACTTTTGCACAATACTGTGTATATGTGTGTGTGTCTGTTTTTTGTCTCATTTGAGATGCTGGTACTCTCCTGTTCCACATCAAAAGGACTTTCCAGCATCTCATAAGCACAACCCTCCAATACCATTTTTTTTAAAAAAACAAGGCAACAAATTATTATGCAGGTCTTGATATAGCACTATATTGGCAAGCACTACACAGTATACTCAGAGATGCTTGTAGCACCCCTTTCAGGGGTCGTTCTCGGGCAATTATGGAAAGGATGAACAGATGGAGGCCTATGACTTTTAGATGCAAACAGCTTTTATTAGCTCACTCTCAAACTCCAGGAGGAAAGAGGTAGGAATTCAGAACACCAGTTACTGACCTGCAGACTCAGTCTTAACAACAATAGACTGGAGTAAAGGAAAAGTGCCATTGTGCTGAATCCAGAACCTGTACCTTCTTAAATGTAGCAGTTGATTCCAATAGTAACCATATCTTCACTTCAGGAGAACCATCCAGCACCAACTAGGACTCCATCCTTTGCCCCAATTTTCATCAGGAAAGTCAACCAGTGCCAACTAGGACTCCATCCTTTATCCATATAGGCACAGCTCCAAACTTAGTCATATAAAGGCCTATTCAAGCAGGGAGGTGGCCCAAAAAGAACACAGCTCCAGTCACATGCACCCTCCGCAGGCTGCAGCCTGGGGGGGAAGAGAGAGATCGTATGGTCCTTCCCAAACATTCATACGCTTTTCCATGATGCTCCACTGGCAAAGAAATTCCTAATGAGTGGCTGGGAAAGGATTTGAATGTTCATAACCCAACCTACAGTTTATCTTCTCCCTAATGCCAGAGTTACCACTGACACCTACTGGCAGAAGGGAGAATTAATAGCCAGGGTGAGCTTATCGGAAAAATCAAATGAGCAAGTACACAATCATTCAGCTGGACAGACTAACACCCAACATGACTAAATTTAGATAGTAGGACAGGGTAGTACATTTATAGTAAAATTTATGGATGTGAGAATACAATAAAAATGATAACTGCTATATGAAAAAAGGGCCTTGCTCACAAGTTTTTTTTTTTTTTAAATGTCTTTTTCACAATAGAGCAGTCTACGATACAAAACAGATTAACTATTGCAAAGGTACATCAGAGCTCACATTCTAAAGCTCATAGGCCACTCATAGGAAGACTCAAATGGAACTGTTGGAATACTTTAATTCATTTGGCCACTGCAGCTGATCAGTGTATGCTGACAACAGAATTTCAGAATACAATAGCAAAGCAGGGAGGATTCCTCCATCCACCTCCCTTATGTGATGGGGGAATCTGTTTTTATTTTCAGCTTTAGCCTGTACTGTTCTGATACTCCCACCTACTCACTGAACACTCACATTCACTGAACTGGCCAAATTGGAATAAAACCTATATTTGTTATATAAAAAAAACTGTATGTCAAATGAAACAGCACTTATAGCCAAAATTAACTAAAAAGAGGAAAAAGCAGCTTGCACAATAATTGACATACCATATACAGTATATAAATAAATAGAAAAAAAGCAAGTACTGTGCTAATACCCCTAAATCAACAACCAAATATGAATATAAACTCCAATTTGTGCACAGTGAGTAAAAACAGTGAATAAATGATAAGAGATATCAAGTCAATTATTTAGTGGCTACACAAATTAAAGTCCAGTGAACAAAGTCCCATTTCATGTGAATATAAGATCAAATTATTCTTCAAAAGTGCTCCTCCCCAAACTCCACTCCACTACTGTGACAGAAATGGGAGCTTACCAGAGGCATATGACACCCAAACGTTAGGTGGGATGTTATAATGCATTGATGCCACTATCCATCCATATGGGATGCCACTGCTCCACCCTACAGACAGCCTCCAGAGACCACATACATCTGGTAAAGAAGAAGACAGAGAAGGGACACTCCCAATAGTGTAAATCAGATAAAAAGCTTTATTAAAAACCACTCAAATGCAGTTTGTAATAATTGTGCTATTCAGTTATCCTGGATGTTTATGATTGAAGACGAGTCTCACTGGTAAATTCGGGCCATGGACTGAAGATCACTTCAGAGTGAGGACAGAGAAGTATATAAGACTAAATTAACAGTAGTTTATCATTTAAATATTTTACTGTGGGAATCATCATGAAGGTCTACAGAATATTTTACATTAGCTACTAAAACGTTCACAAATATTATATACAGTTTAATGCATTTATCTTTTATTAGTAGCAAATAGGGAAGTAGATGAACATTAGGCTTTTTTCTTACCTGTACCTGTATCATCAGAGGTGCATCTATTTTATTAGAGACCCAAGTACAAAATAAGATTAACTCTCATTAGTCATCCAAAGTATCAATTTGTCATGCATTTCTACTTTCTGTCATTGCTACTTTACTGTGCTCATGCTCAACTTTATTAGAAACAAAGTATTTGTTCACTCTAACTTGTGTGTGAGTCCTGGATGCATTTTCTGGTAATATTGAGAGAATTTTACGCTGACCTGCATTTCAAGTGTACGGTGGTGTTGGCAGGTGGTTGGGCATTCAGAGTGAAGTCAAGAGTGACAGGGAACGCGAAAATAACTCAGCAACCCTTAATCCAGCGACCCCCTGACGGTATTCCCGAGTGTAGCTCGGGGTTAACTTTCAGTACCAGAAGAGATAACCCCGAGCTACACTCGGGAATACACAGCAGCGTTGCTCAGGGATCCCTCCAGCAACACTTACCTTGTCCTGCACTCTCGCTATGTCCCCCCTGCAGCGTCCCCGGCCATGTTCTCCGGCCGATGCCGGCATCTGTCTTCCGGGTTCCGTTCCCTGCGAGAGTCGGGACGTACGGGGGACGGAACCGGTGGAATTTTTCAAAAATGAAAATTTGACATTCACTCAATACACTAAAATCTGATAGTATTACATTACTGTATGAAACCATTTCACGTAAATTCTGCCCCTAGTGCTTTGTCCTGTGCCCTGCCTGCATTTTTAAAATGGTAAAATTCTTTCTGCCTGGAAACTGAGAAAAGTTCATGGTATCTAAAAAGCATCCCTTTAGGTCGAAATCGGGTTTTAGACCAGCTAGAGAACAGCAATAATGAATTAGAACCACTTGCAGAATTGAGTGATAATGATTTTGTGGGGAAATTCGTCATCAGACACTGAAAACGATTTTGCGACTAAGCTCAGTGATGTGCAAACTTGGCACTCTATTTCAAATTTCAGTGTTTTTGGTTTGATTACATTATTAAATTCAATTTATTATTATTTTTTATGATTATTTATTATATTATAATTTATGATTTCGCGTTTCAAATTTTATCATACCCGGGATGTTTACTAGACTCTTGTTCGGACAGATTTCAGTGAGTTATTCCTAAGAATTACAGGCCTACAATAAAAAAACAACATATTTCAATTCCAAACAATGTACTGCTTTGAGCACAGAAATACTGACATAATCAGACCGCTAGAGAGGTTAAAGGGTAGTGCTACATTTGCATATTCTATGGGGCCATACTAAAGTGGTGCAGAAACCTTTTAAGAATCTGTCAAATTCTGAGTCACATTGATTAGAATGGGCACAATTAAAACAATTTCCATTGTCATGTGATTCTGTGCAACTCAAGAAGTCACATTAGTGTGAATCAGTTCTAAATGATATCCTACTATGTATTCAATATTATCTGTTGCAATGTAGATGTCTTCATTTATGCAAGAACTATTTATTGCAATAATGTCATGGACATCTCTTGAATGCGTGTAATAGACAAAGAAAGCTAGATATTACCCTTGCTTATTTCTGCTTATTTAGAGGTAAATAAAAGGTATTTGATATGTCTGAATCATCTAGTAAAAAACAGATTGGGTGAGATTTCTTTCTCTTCTTACAAAGACTGACTGGTGCATGGATCTTACTTTTGAGTCTAATTATGTGACAATTTAACTTTTATATGGGTACCTTTTTGGAATTGTTGATTATGCAATCAACAATTGCATTTTAATTTCTAACAATCCTGCAAGTTTTGTTTTCATCAACATACCCAGCACCATAACAGTATTATTTAGTATGCTGTAAAAATATGCCATCTAGGGGCAATTTAGAATATTTCTGATGAACTAAACACTGAACCTATACCCCTCCTGTCCATCTGCCCTGCAAGGTAAAAGGTTAAAATTGTAAGAACTGGTATAACTGGCAAGAGAAAACACAACTTTCAATATTGAAAGGTATCAGCTGAGACACATTTGGGTATTTATAGTCATGTCTCCAATGATGACATCATCTTAAAACTGATTTGTGCAAATAGAATTTTACTCTGGTGACCTTAATTTCTTAAAAATGTTGTAAATTAGCATACACATACTATATAGCTGTACTTTTATTATGTATTGCATGGCATATTATCCTGTTTATAATATTTTAGAGAGATTTTATGAAGCAGCAAATTTTGAGTAAAAAAATAACTTTTATTTTGCAACATTTATTCGCTGTAATGTGATAACCATAATACATATTTTTCTTCATTTTTTAGCTTGTGGAAAACTTATGAAGATTACTGGTCCTGTTACAATAAAAGCATCTGGGCCCAGGTTTGGAGCATGGATGACAGATCCTATAGCATCAGAGAAAAATAATCGTGTATGTATTGTCATAATTATTATAAAATGAAAAAGCATGTTGTAGGTAATCCTTCTGCAAATAATCAGTCTATCAGAAATAACAATAATAAATGCAAAATACTAATTTTAAAGCTAAATTGGGCATCTACTCAGTTGGAGATAACAGTTTACTTGCTTGCTATGGTGCATTTACTGTAGAGGTACTGTATAGTCCAGGAATCCAGTTCTCTACAGCAGTAGTTTTGCTGTAGTCCTAAAAGACCCCAGACATGCCAGGGCACAAGTATTGCTCCCATAAGTCTGTGTTTGATTTGCTGGCAGTTCAGTTTAAAAGCCCAAAAATTGTCAACATCAACAAACTTTGTTTACATGTTAACATTAGTATTTTTTGCTACAAAATGTCTTAGAACCCCCAAACATTATATATCTTTTAAAGCAGAGGCCCTAGAGAATAAATTGGTGGGTTTTGCATTTTTTACGTCACAGAGTATTTGCGCAGTGGTTTTTCAAACACAAGTTTTTGTGAAAAAAATATAGTTTTTTGAATTTCTGTGCAAAAAAACACAATACATAACCCAATTTTTTTGTAAAATATAAAAGATGAAGTTAGACCAAGTAAATAGAAACCCAACATGTCAAGCTTTAAAACTGCCCATGCAACAGCGACAAACGACATACATTTTACTATTTATAGACAACAATTTAAAAGCCTTTACAGTCTACCACTTTAGATTTGCAGAGAAGGTCTAGTGCTAGAATAATAGCTCATGATCTGAAGTTCACGGTGATAGCTCACATTTGCAGGACTATTGCTGTCTGTCTGCGTGCGAGACAGACTCCTGCATTCTCCTTTGTGTGCAAGCACGAGAGATCAGGGGAACTTTAATTTTTTTAAATTATTAATTTATTTTATTGGTTTTTTTTTACACTGTCGCTTTAATTTTTTTATCACTTTTACTGCTGTCACAAGGAATATAAACTTCTCTTGTGACAACAATAGACACATGATAGGTAATCGTTATGAAGGAATCTGGTGTCTATAAGACCTCAAATCCCTCCTCTGTACTTAAAAGCATTCAAAACACCAAGTTCTCTGTTTTTTGTTTTGTTTTTTTTTTTAAATGGCGCCGTTTAGTTCCAAGTAAACTGGAAGTGATGTCAAGTCATTGCTTCCAGTTTACTACAAGGGAGAACCAATTAAAGCCGATCTTTGCTTTGTTCAACTGTCCTATGTTCCAGCTGGTCGTTCAGGTCTCCCGGTGGGCTAGTTAGCCTTTTGGATTGCTTGTACAAAAGAGCTGACTGCCAGCTCTAAAAAACAATAGCTGCAGGCATCACTTCGGTATAACCACCCGAAGTCCAGCAAAGTACAAGTATGTACTTTGGTCGGGAAGTGGTTAAAGGCAATTTAAGAAAAATATAGTAATACCTAACATGTTATAGTTATGTGCTCTGCGCAGATTTCCTCCTCTTTTCTTCCCCACCGGTGTTCCTGGCCCCTCCCTCTTGCCAAATGCCCCAGAGAAAACAGCTTGCTATGGGGGCACCCAAGCAGGCTCTCTTCCAAATCACTGCTCTACATGTCCATTCACACACAGAGCAATGACTTGCTCTGCCCCCCCTCTCTTTATTGGCTCACTGGCTGTAATTGACAGCAGTGGGAGCCAATGGCTCCTGCTGCTGTCTCAGCCAATGAGGAGGGAGAGTCCCCGGAGAGCCAAGGCTCTTGAGCACATCGCTGAATCGAGATGGGGCTCAGGTAAGTATTAGGGGGGGAATGGGGAGCTGCTGCATGCAGAAAGTTTTTTTTACCTTCATGTATAGAATGCATGAAGGTTAAAAACCTTCAACCTTTACAACCACTTTAATTCTGAACCCAATTGAAGTCAATGGTGTCAGAATTTGGATGGCTCTGCACGCTGCACACCTGCCACTAAATGGGAGTAGGCTTTACAAACCTAACTACTACCACTAAATGACAAAATCATGGCTAATGTAATATTGCTGAGAATCCCAGGTGATGTCATTGACCAAATTTGGTCAATAATGTTACTCAAGATTCCTGGAAGTATATCTAAATTACCTCAGCCTAGTATCTGTCAATCGATAATTTAGTGGCAGGATTGCAGCTTGTACAGGTCAGTGTGTTATGGGTCTCAAGGCAGTTGTGACCACAGTCACCAAACAAACCATTGGTAACACAATACACAGCCATGGATTGAAATCCTGCAGCGCCTGCAAAGTCCCCCTCCTCAAGAAGGCACATGCACAGGCCTGTCTGAAGTGTGCCAGTGAACATCTAAATGATTCAGAGAAAGTGCTGTGGTCAGATGACACCAAAATTGAGCTCTTTGACATTAACTCGACTCGCTGTGTTTGGAGGAAGAAAAATGCTGACTATGACCCTAAGAACACCCTCCCTACAGTCAAGCACGGAGGTGGACACATGCTTTGGGGCTGTTTCTCTGCTAAAGGTATAGGCCGACTTTACTGCATTGAGGAACCTATTGATGGGGCCATGTATTGTAAAATTTTGGATGAGAACCTTCTTCCCTCAGACAGAACACTGAAGATGGGTCGTGGATGGGTCTTCCAGCATGACAATGACCCAAAACATACCGCCAAGGCAACAAAGGATTGGCTCAAGAAGAAGTACATTAAGGTCATGGAGTGGCCTAGCCAGTCTCAAGATCTTAATCCTATAGAAAACTTATAGAGGGAGCTGAAACTTCGAGTTGCCAAGCAACAGTCAAGAAACCTTAAGGATATAGAGAAGATCTGTAAAGAGTGGACCAAAATCCATCCTGAGATGTGTGCAAACCTGGTAACCAGCTACAAGAAACATCTTACCTCTGTTTCTGCACCAAGTACTAAGCCATGTTCTGCTTGGGCATCAAATACTTATTTCACTCACTTAACTGCAACTACATTTATAACATTTGTATCATGTGTTTTTTCTGGATTTTTGGTTGATATTCTGCCTCTCTCTTTTAAAATACACCTATGATATAAATTATAGACCCCTCATTTCTTTGTAAGTGAGAAAATTTATAAAATCTGCGAGGAATCAAATAGTTATTTTCCTCACTGTATGTCATTTATTTGATTATATTTGTATTTGGTGTGTGTGTTTGTTCTTCTCTTAACTCTTTGTGGGAATGGGTAAGGAGTACTTATGTACACCTGCACTCATTACCCTGGGAGGGGGCGGGTATCTGGCCGCCCCCTTATCGTACAGGAGGTTTCCATTCCTGACAACTCCTTTTTGGAGCACACAAAAGTGGGGAAGAGCCCTTTGTCCCTCAGCATTCAGACAAGTGTTCTTTGTAAAGGGGGAGGCTGTGCCACCCCTTCCTTGCAAGGTACCCCCAATGTTGAACGAATTGTGGCCTGGGAGGGCTGGGTGTCTGTTGCCCTCCCTTTCTTGACCACACAGACACCCGGGCTGCATGCCTAGATAAGGGTCTAGTGAAATAATAAGGGGAACCCCACTCTATCCTTTATTTTTTTGGTGACAATACATTGCCAATTTATTAACCAACCCCATATTGGTATATAATTTGAATGCGTAATTATATGTGCATTTTTGCTTCAAGTTCAGTGTACTTAAACATTGTAGACACATTGCAGGTCTTTGGTTCAGGCCTTTCAGGACCCAGCCTGTGATGTTCAGGTCAATTTAGCACTTTTCCAAACACTAACAGAAACCCTCTTGGGCACCTTGAAATGTTGTGCTGCATATATTATAACGAAGATAATTCTTGTACCCTATATCATCCATTCTCTCTGCCTTCACCTTTCTGTTTGCTGTATTTCTTGTCTTTGGCCTAGCCTACCCTGCTGCACCTCCTTAAGACTGACCCATTAGTGCACAGTTTATAGGTAAACATAGAAACTTACTAATTTTAGAAAAGTGGCAGATTCTCTTAATTCACTAAACTGATCACCCAAAATTATTCCAAAATAATTGCTATTACCAATAATCGTGTGAGAATAGAAATGCAAAATACAGTAAAAATCCCAGAATCAAAGGTTGAAATGTTTGTCATTTTCTGAATAATACATTGTAACAATCACTGCAACAGAAATGGAGTAGAAAACCCAGGGCACATGTCCTGGGTGCTAGGATCTACAGTACCTATGCATGTAAACATGTATGCTTATCAGACTATAACTGGTATATGATAAGGTGGAATACTAGGGATGATATGTGGCCTGGAATCTCCTAGTTCTTTTTCTGCTAGTAACTATTGCAATACCTTACTGTGAGGTGTTTGTTAATCTTAAAAACATGAAATATTCAAAGTCAGCAGAAATTACCTATATGTCTAAAGAAGTTTGGATTAGCTAAGTCTGCTGAGGCTCACTAATAATACAATATTTTTCTTTCATATTTATTAAATTTTTCAGGTCTGGTATATGGAAGGATTTACAACCAGCAAGATTGTACGTGAGTACAAGTCAATGGCAGATTTTGTCACTGGAGCAGAGTCAAGGACTTACACACTACCAGTGAAATGGGCTGGCACTAGTCACCTGGTGTACAATGGGTCACTGTACTTCAACAAGTACCAAAGCAACATCATTATTAAGTACAGCTTTGGCACGGGGAAAATTTTGGCCCAGCGTAGTTTGGACAATGCTGGATTCAACAATGTCTATCCATACACGTGGGGTGGCTACTCTGACATTGATCTCATGGCTGATGAATTTGGTTTATGGGCTGTTTATGCTACCAACCAGAATGCTGGCAATATTGTTATTAGCCAATTACGGCAGGATACACTAGAGGTGTTAAAGAGCTGGAGTACAGGATATCCTAAGAGGAGTGCTGGAGAGTCCTTTATGATCTGTGGCACTTTGTATGTTACCAACAACCATCTCACTGGGGCGAAGGTTTACTACTCATATTCTACCAAGTCCTCTACATATGAATATATGGACATCCCCTTTCATAATCAGTACTTTCACATATCAATGCTGGATTACAATGCTCGAGATCGTGCCCTGTATGCCTGGAACAATGGACACCAGGTGCTTTTTAATGTCACGCTTTTTCACATCATTAAAACGGACAGCGATGTGTGAGGTTCAACACAACCAGCCTTCCACCGAGAAGCCCTTGTTCATCTGTATATAGTTTTTTCTACTTTACTCCATCCATTTTGTCTACATTGTCTACGCTCACTCTAACTTGACATCTCTTATTAGCTGATAATCCTTCTGTTACAACGTATTTATTTTCTCTTCTGCGATAGGTATCTCAATAGTCATGCAAAAGTCAACAATCTGTTAAGTACAGCTCACAGACGTTTTGTGGAAGGCAACTGATTTTATATTGATTTTTTTAGCTGTATATAGCACCAAACTAGAAGTACATATGAGAACCTGTCTTTTCATAAAGTATATATTTATAATAACACCAAGCTGTTACAGGCAAACACAATAATGTAGTGGATAATGTGAGTGCAGGGGAGATGATGATACTAAAGAAACAGATGCAGGAGGAATGTATATCTCTTAATTTACTTGCCCAGTTCACAACTGAAAAGAAGAAACCATATGTACACACATTTAAAAATCCTGGTTTTAGGATAAAGAGCCTAGTGGAAAGGATCTCATATTTGTAAAGACATTTTTAAATGCATAAAATAGGTCAGAATTAACTATGTAAGATAATTCCCAAACAGTGGCTTGTGTTTCAGTTTTGGCTAGTTTGGTATCTATCTGTTAGCTGTTGCATTAGGCAATTTACAAAGCCAAGCAGATGTCAGTTAAGTTTGATAATATTCATATCTAGTCAGTATCATAAAAAAATTGGTTACAAACCCAGCCAGTTGAAATACTGTAGGCATATGATAAACAAATGCAAAGCCAAAGGTTAAATTTCATGAAATCTTCTCCCTCTGATTATTCCTATTGATCAGTAAATTCAACCACTACAAAGCTAATACCTTCAAACACTTGAAGTACAGAGGTATTATGTGTATTTAGGTGTAATTAGATTAAAATTCAACCTTTTCTGGTTTGTTTTGAATAGAAAAGGATTATAACGTCTGTAAAGTTTCTTAGATGTGCTCTGATTTGAGATACTTTCCCTCACAGTCAAAACCAGACACAAATATTTAAATAAAAAATATTATAACTGTGCTTGGTAATTATAATTCCTAAAAGATATAAATAATCCATACAGCTGCCCTCAAATACACATCTAAATGCCAAATGTGACAGTAATATTACCACCAGATAATGTGCTGCTGCTAAAACTAAATATTTGTGCAAATTTCCATAATTGTTTAACATCAAAACCAATTCATAAAATATATAAATATAAAAAAAATATGCCAAATGCGTAAATAAATAAATAAAATTCACAATCAGAAGGTTCATGTGTGTAATAGACCCCAGGTTATAGGAGGTCTAATAGCACTCATTCAAATTGATAAAGGCTCTCTGTGACTCTGTCCATACTCAGTAGGAGACCATGGGACTCCTAAAAGCAATCTTAAGATTGCTTTGTTTATTTTGAAAATTTTGAGTACCTTTTTAATTCTAATAAAAGTGCTAATAAGCAGTTTCAGATTATGTGATGTCTATGATCTATCTTTTACTGGTCCGTCATTGATTCCTGTTACTGAGTCCCACAGTCTCCCGCTGAGTATGCATAGAATCACAGATAGTCTACACCAATTTTAATGTGCACTATTAGATCTCCTATAACCTGGGGACTATGATTTGGGTAAGAGACTGGTGTTTATGTGGTGGAGGAATCACATCATGAAGGATTTGTCAGTACACTGAAGATTTTTCTTGCTGCACATAGTGTGGTATCTTGCACAACATTTAATGAACGTTTATGATTGTGGATTGGTATTTATTTATTTGCACATTTTGCACATTTGGTTTTGATGTTAAACAATTGCAGAGATTTGCAGAAATATTTCATTTTAGTAGTGCAACATTATCTGGTGGTAACAAAGATCAAAAAGCCTGGCAAATTTTTTAACCTTTCACTGCACTACACCACTCTGCTTTCTCTGTCCCACTGAACAAACAATTCTGACCTGTAGTGATGACCAAAAAGCAAGTGAGAGTAATTATCCCCAACTAAGAATAAGCACCTGAAAAAGAGTCTACTTTGATACAAGATTTCTATATTATCATGTTCTTATTTTGTCTGCAAATATAGTTATATAATAAACTAGGTTGAAAATAGACAGATGTCCATCAAGGTCAACTTGTAATAAGCTCCTGTAGTTTTATTCCAAAAGAAGGTAAAAACATATGACAACCAGTTTTGCCTCACTGGAGAACATTCCATATTGAATAAAAAGTACCCAGATGTCCTTCCTTGGCCAAATACTATCTTTAAGTAAATTTAACTGATAGGATTAGATATATGAAATGCAACTGCATTTATTTTGATTTCTTCTTTTGTTCAGCTGTTAGAATTAAAAGTCATTTTGACAACAATTTATATCGACAGTGCACATATTTACATGTGTTTAGCTAACTCAAATCCAGTTTTTTCTAAGCTAAACAAATTAATTTTTTCTAACATTTCAGTTTGTAACCGAGATCTCCCATCCATTTTATCAGTTTAGTTTCTCGCCTTTGATCTATTAAACTCCCTTTCAAGATGTGACCTGTCAAGTGATTTATAGCATAATAGGGGCTTTACTGCCCTCAATTCACACTTTTTTTTTTATTCCTTTTTATACATCAAAATTTTATTTGCTTTTGCATTTGATGCTTGGCATTGAGTACTGCTGTGTAGTGTACAGCTAACCAAAATTCCCACAACTTTTTTACAAGTTTGTTTTTCTCACTAGGTGATAATAATATCAGATTGGCATAACATTTGTCAACATGAATTCCAATTGTCCACCCTGCCATTGTGACACAAGATAACCTATAGGCAGATACACTGGGAAATGTAGACTTTACATCATGATACAATCTACTTTTAAAAGGGACTCTAAATTATGTTTCCCAGTCTGCTATGTCTGGAAGTGAATTAACCCTGCTAAAAGTGTGATCATACAAAGTATATTCTAACCTTGGATGTCCAAGAAAGAAAAAAAAAAAAACATTTTATCTGAAGAGAGGTATAAAAAGGAATGTAAATATTGATCTTATACATTTTTCTTCACTAGAAAAATTTCAGCTCAAAACTTTGCGGATTCAGTCAGAAATAGTGCATAGCTTATGGCCCTGGCCAGATGAGTCACATAGCCCAACATATGAAGGAATGTTTACCTCAGACCACTTTGTATGAAAAGGTGGGCCTGCTGAAGCCTTAATTTCAATGTGGGTTGAAACTGTTAGGGAGAGCTGACAGTTCTGTGCATGCTGCCAGCTCTGTATAGGGAGATATACGGCTTTTTTATTTTTATTTAATGACCTTTGTTGGCAATAGCTTGCTTAGTAGACCTACAAATGCCCACAACTGAATAACAAGAGTGACTCCGCATAGACTTCAATTGGGTTTGCCAACTTCTAACAAGGTTTGTGAAACTTTTTACAGACGAAACCCACGCAGATTCACTCATTCCTATTCTTCACCTGCTCTGTGTATTTTATAAAGAGTTTGAGGACCCAATGGCTCATTCTTAGCCCTAAGACCTCTATAGCATGTAAACACTCTGAGCATCTCATTTTTCACTGAAATGAAAAGTGGGTAAGTGTGTTCTAATGCCACAGCTTAAAAAACAAATACCAAAACTAGAAAAAAACTGAGCAGTGTACTGTCACATGCTATTTTGTTTCTTTGAGGGATACGTTTAATTCATTCCCAGGTGCTAGCAGAAACATAAAAGAGTTAATAAACTTGGACCTCCCTTTACTCCTTTATCATATCACTAAATAAGTTGCTGGCAGGCCTAATTATCTCTAATTATTAAACCCTGGAGAAGCCTCCACTAATAAGTCATAACGATGGACAATTATTTGGTCTATTAATCACGTTGACTCTAATAAGGCATAGAGACTGTGAGAAAGTAACCAGGACGTGGTATTAATTTTGTGACTGCAATAGAGATCTTAAAAAAAACTGCATTGGGGTTTTATAATCTAAAAAGCCAGTGATCACTGTAAAATTTACAATAAATCAGCTTAATTTTTTTTTTATTTTGTGGAAAGATGCAGTAATTAAGCAATCCATTGGGGTGCCTAAAGTAGATCTCCAGTGAAGGGATAAAATGTGCATTTGAAATCCATACATTTAACCTGATTTTCACAGCAGATAAGCCACAAAGGTGATTGCACTATATTATAAATATGCAGTCACCTTTGTGGTTTATCTGTTCTTGTCATCCCATATACCAATATAACAAATCCATGTATTCAATTTTCTACCTTACTGCTAGCCTACCTATTTCTGGAGAGAATCACCCTGTGCTGTTCTCTTCTTTTGCCAGCACCTGAACCATATTCAACTGACCACTCTTTACTGTGCAAAAGAGCCTATTAGACTACCACACCTAGTGACTAAGGATGAGCACATTGGTCCGGGTTTGGTTTGCAGTTGTGAATTTTAATACAGACCCTATTGACATCTATAGGGAGAAGGCAAATCTTAAAAAACTGTTTTAACTATTTTCAACTCAGCAGAGGGCATGGCGAGGTAGGCACTGCCACTGGAGACATGTATAATTTTAGAGGGAAAAGCCAGAAATATTGTACAGAGTCACTGCATAGTATGGGAGCAGTTTTACTAAGTCACAATTTAAGAGAGAAAGACCAGGCAGGTTTTATAGTTAAAAAAAAATAAAATAAAGTGTATTATTTCAGTGACAACAGTCAGAAATATTGTAGGGAATTGATAAGTATTGTAAGCCTTTTTACTAGGCTGTAAAATGGAGAGACTATGCAGGTTTTATAATGAACTAAAAATGTGAGTGTAGTATTTCAGAGATGAAAACCATAAATATTTTATGGATTCAATGCATGCTATGTTTGTAGCTTTAGTAGGCCACAATTTTAGTGGGAGAGACCAGACAAGTTATCATGAATTAAAAACTGTAGAAAACAACCAGAAATATTACACGGACTCAATGAGCAGTATAAAACCTTTGTTTACTTGGCTT